GAAGATGCATACCGATTTTCGTAACAAAGTCTAAGCGTTCTTAAAATATTGCATTTTTTGACAAAATTCAAAATGGCCGACGCCCAAAATGGCTGACATGGAAAAATTTGGTATGATTCGACTCCGCATGATGCACCAAATCTAAAGAGACCTGTTTTGTGATTTTTGGCCAAACCATTCAGAAGTTATAAGCAAAAATATGCATTTTTCATATCTCCTGACCACTAGGGGGCACTGCGCCGAAACATTGCAGGTAGTCTTAGGTCATGTTTATTATAACACACAAAAAGTTTGGTCCCAATACGCCAAACCGTTGCGTAGAATTCCTTTGTGCGTTATTCGAGAACGGTTTGACAAATCAACTTGAATTCCATAACTTTTTGCCAGCATGGTCTGAAGATGATCTGAGCCAATTTTGGTGAGAATCAGACAAACCGTCTAGGACGAGTTCGAAAGAGTAAGTTTTACGAACAATTAAAAATAGAGAAAAAACTAAACCTTGCGAATTTTGGTGTTCATTCGACTCGGCATGAGCCAAGGATTCAGAGGAAAAAAAGAATTTTCCATTTGTGCCTTACGGTTCAAAAGTTATTAGCATAAAAGGTGCCTAAGCACCTTCGGTGCTTGGCCCCTAATGAACTGTTGGTGTTGTGAATAACTTGCTACCACGCAATGCTTCATGCAAACTGCTCTGCCCTTTCATCTCTACGAGGTGTCATTGCCACAAGGTAGATCTGTCATCCTGATTTGTTAATTTCTGTGCAATTTCTTGATTTGTCAATACATGCACACCTGTTCCCATTATGTCTTATTAGATTTAGTTATAAAGCGTGTCTTTCTCTTTCCGAATGGTCAATCTCTTGGTGCTGCCACTGCACCCTCTGGTGCTTGTCCTAGATTAGACAGCCCCTCTGGAACCTGGTGTCAAATGCTGATGCACTCCGACACGGGGTCAACTTGTGCTCCAAACAGTCATGTTATACAGCTCACATGTTTCTTACTGCCTGGCAATCAGTTTAACTAGTTAACTTCAAGCTGGCCTTAGTGTGTGTAGTCATCAACACTGGCAGCACAAGCACACTGGCTTTAATCCGTTACTTCACAGAAATTAAGAAATGTTTGGAATAGAAGCTTGGCATTTCATTCTAGCAGTTCACTTTGAGTCTGCTAAATTCAAACTTGCCTTCAGAAGCACCTTCGAAAGCATCAATTCACCAACATCATTTATTCAAATATAAGTGAAGAAAGAACACAGTCTTTTCAGATGAATGAGAAACTGTCAGGTGTTGAAAACCGTTCTGTCATCTGGGAAGTTCACATGCTATTGTGTATATGATGTTCACGCATCATACAGGAAATTGTACCGGCTTCAGCGCACCTTCCCTTGACGTCTAGAAACAATAAGTGAGAAGAAGTGTACAGTTGATTTCAAATGCTTCAGTGGATGCGTAGTTTGCAGATTACTTGTTTTAACCCTGTGAATTGCTGTGCGATGACAAGGTGTGGTACAACTGTCAAATAGGATAAACTGCCAAACAATGATTTTTCTTCTTTTTTTTTTTTTAAAGCATTCATCCATAGTGTTCACCCCCACATACACCACCATTCAAAACTTTGAAGGCTGAACTATATATGTATATATTATATAATATATATATATATATATATATATAAATAAATATAAGTGATTCCAACGATATCGTTCCTCTGTATAGTTATCGTTATAGTTGTGGTGTGAACTATGCTATTCTTTAATATTGAGAACGATTTTTAGAACTATATCTTTATCGTTATCTTTATCTTTATCGTTATCTTTATAGTTATCGTGCTTGGTGTGAACGGGCCTTTAGTTCCAAGCTTAGTGAATGATAGTGTACAGGCATCTTTCCCTCAGAACATGCTACTCTTTCAAAAACAAACACATGTTTAGGGATCGTCATATGGGAGGTAGCGGTAGGCAGGATTTACTGCTGTCAATCAAGTGTTTTCCTCCAGTGAGCATTTTCCTGATTTCATCAATGTGATTTGCGCTTTATTTCCACTGAGTGAGATAGCCAAACTCATGACAGCTGAAATCAACACTAGCCTCAGGCAGATTCTGTTCCATTACCAGAACAGCTAGAGAGATGGTCGCTGACAGGGTATATCTCTCCTCACATCTGCCCCTGAATTATGAACTGCATCACTAAAATACAACAAATTAAAAGTGGAAATAGACGAAAACTGCCACAGATGCTTGCTAACATACAAACCTAATGTATGGCTTTCCCTATAGTATAATCTTTCTAGCTATTATAATTAAAAAAATGACCCTCTCTGTAAAAAGGGCTCTGCGGGGGTTTGTCGAAAATGTATCACTGATTAAGAACCTGTCAGTGTGCAACCTGAAATTAGAGTGGTTAACATGAGCAATAGCTAAATGCATTTCCACCCTGTGAATGGCTTTTTAACAGTCTCTTTGTTAAATGCAAGATAATGCATTTGGTTCTATTCCTGCAATCCATTTGCTTTTATTTAATATCTAGCACATGCTGTTCAGTCTTCAGGGTTCGATAAGAGTACTTCCCCTCCCAGGTTTGCCATAACTGTCTCTTTTTATCCATTCTGCTCGTAGATTGCTTCATTCAGATGAGATGGGGACGTGCCTCTTGATGTCGGTGTCTGCGAAATCACCAAAAACGTTCTTCAAATGATTTCATTTCCCAGACATTTGCTCATTTACATGGAGCTCAGTGAGTCAGCATACTGTAACGCGGAGTGATTAGACTACAAGTTTGACTAAACATTGATTCTAAGAGGGGTGTCATGCCATACGATCGTCCTTTAGATCCTACTCTCACTGTAATGAGATGGTCTGGGATGCCAGGAAGCCTAAAAATGGTTGCTCAGTTGGCAGAAAATGAACTCATCAGGGGGATGACAGTGACATTTGGCCATTTTGACATCTGGCCCAAGGGGAATGTTTGTCACCTTCATTGCATCGATTGTATCTCCTAGTTCCTTTTCAGGTAGCTGTCCATTGCAATATCTGACTTTATTTTTTTGTAAGGGGTTTTTAAAGGGGTCATATGATGCTGCTAAAAAGAACAGTATTTTGTGTATTTGGTGTAATGAAATGTGTTTATGCGGTTTAAGGTTCAAAAACACATTATTTTCCACATACTGTACATTATTGTTTCTCCTCTATGCCCCGCCTTTCTGAAACGTGTTTGCCATCTGTTGAATGGTATAAACATAAATCTGTCACTTCTTGCTCATAGTGCAAAGCTTCTTTTTAACACTTGATGAAGATATATGAGATGAGAGGCAAGTGTTGCAATAAAGAAACATGAAGTAATTGTGTTTTATTATTTCAATGTTGCAGAACATGTGGACTGCACCAGAAAAAGAATTCTCTATGCAGATAAGAATAGCACCTGCATTTTACCCTAAAACTTCTGAAGTAACTCCTGAAATGAGTTCAGTAGAAGGCTGCTTATCAACCTAATTGCTGCTAATGATCTAAATAACAATTTAGTTATTTAGGTATTTTCTGCTCCTGCAAGTGGAGAATAAAAAAAGCCTTCTTCAAGTCGTTGGAGTGGTTTGTTTGTTGGATCAGTGCAAACGAGTGTTTAACTTAGGATACACCTTTTTATCATTGTTTAGCAGTTGGCTTTTAAATTCTTTCTCCCACAGCTCATTCCAGACCTTTCATACCGTCCTCTGCTTTAAATGTTCCCCAGTCGCCGCCTTCATTTTGTCACTTTTTTTCTCAAGCCGCCACACGAGGATCGAGAACCTTTAATTGCTTTATTTTTCGTATTCGGATTCCAGGTGGAACCGCGGAGGGGATTAAGTCCTGTTTACTGCCTGCAATGCATCGAATGAAAGGCTTCAATCTGAAGAGGGATTTCTTACGCACTGCTACTTAATCGAGCCATTTAAGTTTCCCTCTTCTCCATTCATCTCCAATTTGCCATTATCTTCAAACGAACCCATGATGCCGTGCGTTTGAAAGCATTAAAAGGATTTCATCATTCTTTTTTCTTTTCTCCACGTCTTTTTTTTTCATCTGTGCAAACTGTGAATTAATTTCACATGGAGATGTTTACGAATGCTCACATATCTCCATAAATACAGTCAGCAAATATAATTTCCCTACAATTCATGACTTCGCTGTCGGCGCAGTTTTAAGATTTGCCTTTTGAAGCACATGGCCAGGCAGAACACTTGACTGAAAAAGATAAGATTTCTCAGCTTGACCATTGGAAGGCCTTCTGCGAGTTTCAAAAATGTGTTGACATTTATCTTTTGTCCATTTATTTTAATCTTTTGAAGTGGGATTATCTTTTATTGAGTCTAGATGCACTGTAAAAGCTTTAACAAGATGCAACAAAGCAATGGTTTAAAGATGAGTTTTTTTTATGTTAGTCAAAACAGTCATTTGTCAACTCAAACAACTAATGTTCTAGAGATCCCTTAGTGGTGGCTATTAACTAACAATATGGAATATTATAAAACCAATCTACAATCAAACCTGAAGTAATTAGCCAGGATTAACTACTTGAATTACATGGGTATCATTGATGTACCTTAATGAGTAAATGCTAGCAAACTGAAATTGTTTGTTTCACAGTGGCCACAACCACAAATGAGCCATGGCAATTCCATTGTCAGAATAAACTTGATAAGCTTGCTGAAAATGCTAATTAAGAAATGTTCTTACTAAATCATATATCTATCTATATTCTGTATATATACTGGTGGGGGTTGAGGAGAGACCCCCCATATGATTGTAAAGTGCTTTGGGTACAGAAATACACAAGAAAGTGCTATATAAATGATTCATTCATTCATTCATATATATATATATATATATAT